TAGAGTCTGGGCGGCGGACAGGCATGTGCGTGCTGCTCAGGCCTTTCAACTTGCTGTGTGTCTGAATTTTTTCCTAGTAAGTGACTGGAAGGAAATGACCTTACACCAGCCTAAAAGACAGTCTCTACAAAAGCCAAAGAAGCTGTTACCACACAGACCCTTAAAAAGAACTCCTTAAAAAAATTATCTGCACATTTGCAAATGTGAAGATCGAAATAAATCCACAAAGGTTTTAGAATAAACATCAGGTCTAGGGCGCCTGGGTGGCCCAGTTGGTTAAGCGTCCGACTTAGGCTCAGGTCATGATCTCAGGTCCGTGGGTTCAAGCCCCGTGTCGGACTCTGTGCGGACAACTCAGAGCCTGGAACCTCCTTCGGATTCTGTGTCTCCCTCTCTCCGCCCCTCCCCTGCTCGTGCTCTGTCTCTCAAAAATAAACAAACATTAAGAAAAAATTAAGACAAACCAGAATAAACATCAAGTCTTGAAATTCAAAACCGAAATGAAAATGCTGGCACATTTTACTACACTAAAAAAACAAAGAAAAAAAGGGGCAACTGAGTGGCTCAGTTAGTGGAGTCAATGACTCCTGATTTCAGCTCAGGTCATGACTCCAGGGTCATGGGATCAAGCCCTGTATTGGGCTCCTCGCGGAGCCTGGAGCCTGAGATTCTCTGTCTGCCCCTCTCCCTGGCGCGTGTGCGCTCTCTCTCTCTCTCCCTCCCTCTCTCAAAAAAACCCACAAAAAATAAAACACAAAATAAGAACAAGTCCTGTGTGATGAAAGCCGTCTGATCGCAGTTGACGGACAAAGACAATTTGGGAAGAACATACAGAACAAATACTATAAACACAGTTAATATGACAAAAACCTCTTAAGAAAAAAACATAAATATACTGGAAAAACTGGTAAGAAATACAGCCAATTAAAAAAAAGGAATATGAAGTGGCCCACGTATGGGAAGGCGTTCAACAGTAATCGGCCTGAAGTACATAAAACAAGCTATTATTTGTTGTCCAACAGGCCAAACGAACATCGCCTCGTGCGCCTCACCCGTCTGGTGGACAGAGGCGCTGACGTGCAGTCACTGAAAACGTTGTCTCCAGGCTGCTCGTCTGTTAAACCACGTGCTCCATGCGCTAAGAATATTCATGAAGACTGAGACCGCGAAGGTGGCTGACACTAACTGCTGGGATCCGCCCACTTTTATGTTAGGTGACGGGGTGGTTCCGATGTTCTCCGGCTGGAATGTATTACTATCTCTGGACACACGTAAAAACTATTTATTTCCAAAGGCTCAAAGCTAAGTTAACAAATGCACTCTGAAATTCCTTTACTAAAAGTCTGCAGTGACCGTACACAGTATGGTGTTCATGCCGCCTGGCGAGCTCCGGCCGGACCGTGATCACAGCGGGAAGGACGGGCAAACATGAAGTCGGGGCCGGCACAAGTCCGCACGAGGACCCCGGAGCACACAGCGAGGACGGCCCGTGTGCAAGCAGGACCTGGGCCCAGATACTCGGCCGCAGGAGCGTCTCGGCTGGCCCGTCGCCCAGAGAGAGGGCGGCCACACAAGTGACACGACCTCACGGGCCCACCAGAGGGAGGCTGACCACAGCAACACAGGGAGCAGCACGGTCACACCCCGAACTCCAGCCCCCACATCCGCCCCGCTCTTCCTTACCTAGCGTGTCTGCTCTACCTAAACAGCAGACCTGCTAAGAACACGCAACATTCCCCTCGTCGTAACGGCTAACTCCGCTTTTCCCCCACACGCTCTAACAAGGCGCGTGATCCCGAAACTGTGCTGCGCCCATTTCTCCCGTAACAGGAGCACAGGCCCCTGCCTGGACAGTAAGTACCCCACAGTCCCCACTTCCCGGGCCCCACCCGGGTCCTCTGCTCCTGTCACCTCAATTTCTGTAATCTTTACAAATAAGCCAACTTTATGCCAACTCTAGTGCAATCTTTGACTTTCATTTCAAACAGACCTTGAACTGAAAACTCCTGTCTGCAAATAAGAGCAGCCACCAGCCCGCCTTGACGGATACCTGCCTCTTCATTTTCCTTCTTCCAACTATCTGTCCTTGCTGCTACAGATGCACCAATGCCCAGTCCGTGGAGGTTTCACTTGGGCCCCTGATGTCCTGTGCTCCGTGTCCCTTTTACAGTATGCCTGGCTCCCTTCATCCTGTGACATCACAGTTCCCGCTGTGGCCTCGCAGACACAGGGCGGATACGGCTCACACCATCTGTCCCCAGTCACTCCAACAAGACGGGCTTCCGTAGTGACCCCAAGGACGTGCACAGGTGGCTTCTGTACCCTGTCACTAACTGCCAGGTGATTTATAATCCGGGACCTTCTCAGACTTCATGGCACTATCCACCATAGGCCAGACCTCTTCAGATCGTCATATCTACCTACCCGGTGGCTTTTCACCCCTCTAGCCCTAAGCCCACATTTCTCTTTCCTTTTCATTTAAAAAACCTGCATGTTTCCTGGAGTGCCTGGGTGGCTCAGTTGGTTAAGCATCCAACTTCGGCTCAGGTCACGATCTCGCGGTTCGTGAGTTTGAGCCCCGCGTCGGACACTGTGTCTGAAAAGCTCAGAGCCTGCTTCGGATTCTGTGTCTCCCTCTCTCTGCCCCTCCCCTGCTCGCGCTCTGTCTCTTTATCTCAAAAATAAATAAACATTAAAAAAATTAAAAAGCATGCAGGTTCCCTCAGAACTAGCTCCTCCACAAACAGAACCTCTTCCTGTGACTGGTATCCCTGGTGGCCCAGGACAGAAACCAGGAGAGCCCTGGGATCCCTCCTTAGGCTCCTTACCCAAGTCGACCAGCCAGCCAGGCACACAGACTCCAGCTCTGGCCACCGCCCTCCTGACTGCTGGGGCCGCTACGCCCACAACACAGCCTCGGTCCTTCTCAAGTGGACAGGGGGGATGCAAGGTGTCTTGGTTCTTTGCTTCTACTTTTAATTTTCATTAATAAAATTCCAATCCCGCAAATACAGAGCTCTGAATCACAAACCTCCTCGAACCACTGTCCTGCCTAAGAGGGCTCAGCAGCCGGCCGCCAATGTCAAGGACCAAGCCCTTGTGAAGAAGGACCCGCCCCCTCACAGCGAACTGAGGGTTTTCTAGCTGCTGATTGTTCCTGTTTCTGCGCCTTCACAAAGTCTCATCGCACCTGCCCACATTCCTTCTCCGAGACGGGGTGACCACACCTGCTGTGACACCACGTCAGACATCAAGTACCAGGCCCCCCACGCGTCCTCCAAGTACTGCTAGTTCAGCTTCTAGCACACTACTCCACGATCCTGCTTACTTGTCAGAGCCCAGCCTCTAGCTGCGAGCCTCCTGAGGGCAGACAGTTTGCATGATTCATCTCTGAATCTCCAGCACTCGGCGGCCAATGGCTCGGCAGGTGCCTAGTGACGTCTGTTAAGTGAACTAATGAGTAAAAGCTAAATGGACAAAGGAACAACCAACCAAATAATCAAATAACCAAATAGGTAAAACTATTCCTGCTTTTCCTGAACCTCCACTCGAATTGAGGACAAGCCCAGTATCATCTAAGTCAAGATCCTCAGTGATTCCTCCGATTCTGGTCATCTGTATTTTAAGCACCAAGAGCCTGGAAGGCTGAAGAATGTGGCAATTGTAAACAAAAATCGAAACCATAGCGAATGTTCGTTGCTCTCTTTTTAGGTTATTAATGGCATCACGGCTTCTATGCCGTCTACTAAACGTCAGGAAAAATTCTACCTAAAATAATTCTGCCTGCTAAGACATCCTAGCTGATCTCAACTCTTTCACTCATCTCCAACCAACTGCTGTTCACCCTACCCTGTCCGTTAAGGGGCACAACATATGTATAGATGGCGTTCAGATAAACACAGGCAGAGCACTTGGGAAGTGTCCTCTGTGCTGCACGCGGTCACGGACCCCAGGCGGACACACCGCATTCAGAAATCAGGCCGTGAACTGGCTCTCAGAGCCTCAAACAGGACAGACGGCCCAGGTGGTACTCATTCAGCCTCACAGGCTGGCAGAAAGGAGGCTCATGTTAATTATAAAAAATAACCATCGCATCTACTGCAACCAGTTATTACCTCAAATGGTTGTACCTGCTCTGTAACTAATTTCCAAAAATGTTTATTTTCTACTTTTATATGTAAATGACCCCACCTCCCCTGCAAAATCTTGCTGTCAAAATGGCAGGGGTCCTCCCCTGTGTGGCAGGGGTCGGGCTCCAAGAGTCCAAGCAACATGCGGAGTCAGTTCAAGTTGCCATCACAGCAGGGTAGTGACGGACAACCTTTTACTTTATTTTGCCACATCTCCCAAATACCACAAGGAGTCAGTTCAGTAATAACAGAGCCAGAAAAAGTTAGTGTTGGCCACACGTGGCACCACTGCTAATCAAGCTAACAGTGGCCTTTAGCGGGACATAATAAACATCAACTCTCTTTTGCCGCACTAATTATCAAAAAGATGAAGAACAGAATTCCAGCCACCCCAGACACAGGCTCCAGCATGGCTCACATGCATTTAATACAAACCAATACAACAGTCTAAGACATAAGTTAATTCCATTATCAGAAAAATTTCCAGTTGTTCTAAATATTCCAATACATGAGCAAAAAGGAACTCAGGAACTCACACATCTCACTCTGTTTTGGAAAAAACCCTTTGTAAATGTATCCGGAGAATATACATAAAGGCTGAATCGGTAATTCTGAATTCGATGCGAACTACAAGTGAAACTTCTCCCCAGTGTGATTCAATCTACAGAGATACAATGGCCTGAAGACATCTGTCAAAAAATTAAACTGTCAGTTCACACAATTGCTGTTGTGAAGAATGCTTTCCTTAGAAAAACTTTCCTTCTTCCAGATCTAACGGTTTTAGAAGCAGTAGTATTTCAGGTTCTGAAGTGAACTTGAAGTAAACAGCAAGCCCGGGGTCTGAAGGTGCTCGCGGCACGGGGTACTCACTCTAACACCTCATAGTTGGACTTCTTCTCTAGCGCGTTGCCTCGCATCTCCCAATACGAGCGCCTAAAACGGGGAAGACACACATTTACACACAAATGAGGAATTACTACGAGGAATCTCCATGTTGCTAAACAGTAACCACTTTGTGGCTCAGCCGCAAACGCCCGATAAACTATGTGACAGAGACCGGATCTGACCTCCAGCATCATTCCCGTGCCCCAGTGAGGCCGAGGTCACTTAACACAGACTTCGTCCCTATTGGACAATCTTTCTCTTCTGACGTGAAGCAGGTTTGACTCTTGGTAAAGAGGAGACACGAGACTCCAGGTCCGCTGCCTGCTGTCCTCGTCCCTTCTCTAGAGACTGCACCTACGAGCTAAGGGACAGCGGACTCCTGCTGCGGCCAGGCGAGCGTCACGCCCACTGCTGCAGACTCATGTGTGCCACGAAGGCCAACCGCACGGGCAGTAATGGGACAGATACTCTGGTGGGACAGAGGGGCCGGGCTCCTCTTGGGTAAGTGCCGTCCACCACTCTGAATGTTCACGGTCTGAATTCTACCTTCTTACCCCAAACTGCATGTTCAAGCAGTTTTGGGTCTTGCTGGAACCAAGTCCTGTCTCTACAAAACCTGCCATGAGTTGGGGGCGGGGGGATTCCCTCTACACAAAAGCATAAACCCCGGCTGGAGCTGCTGTGGGAGACACTTTGGGAGACACGGACACTGCACATCCCCTCAAGTCATTTCATAGAAGAAGACTCTGTTTCAAACCTGTCTGTAATAACAGAAATACTGGTTTTGTTTTTTAAATTGGCTTCTCTTTGGCCTACTTAAGATGGAAAGTACTAGATTGAGATGAAAAATTAAAAAGGGCCCCAACTGGGTCACATAATTTGTTCTCTTGCTTTCTATCCGTGGCGGGGGGTGGGGGGGGGGTTGAAGGAAGGGTGGCTAGTGGGGTGGCTAATTTGTCAAGCTTTTTCTTCAGCATCTTATTTCATAATAAAGCCACTGGTACCGAGCAGGATGCAGAGGAGACGGATAAACGTGCCGCGGGAGGCCAGGGTGGGAGGGTGGGAGGGAGGGAGAGAGCTGTGTAGAAGCTGGAGCGGTACCTGGACCACTCACGTGCAAGCTGACGCCTCCTGAGCCCTGCTGCAGACAACACACGGCACGACCGTGTAGTAAGAAAAGCATGCCCAAGGACACCTCTAAGTAACACCGGGAAGGGCCGGGAGTGGAGCAGGAGCGTGGACACTAGTGAGGGACGGCCTCTGTTACTTGGATATACAGTGACAGTCGAAGACACATTTTCAGGAGGAGTTGAGAGCTACGCTTAACCATCTTGGGGTCCTCGTAGACAATGTTATCTAACAGCCTTATGCAATATAAAAAATGGTGATGGGGGGGGAATTATCACTGTTTTGAGGACATGTGATTAAATTTTGGCTAGTTTAACCAGCTCATCTTAAACTAGCAGCCCAGAGTAAATTTTAATTGAAAGCCTACCTGAAAACCGTAAAATATTCTTTTATTCAAATTTTAAAATGGTAGCATAGGAGATAACGTATGACAAATGGTGACACACGTTCTCAGAAATAAGAAACATATTCTCAGATTTCCGCTTCCCTTAAACCTGCAACACGGTGGCCACTGGCCATATGTGGCTCTTTATGTCTCAATTTACGTGATGTGCACTCGCACACGGCACCCCTCAGTACCCACTGGCTAGCGGCTGGCAACTGGGACATCGCACACCTGTCACCACAGGAAATCACCGCGGTGCGCTCTCACACCTGCTCACCCATGTGCAATGGTACGAATCACGCCATTCTAATTACAATGAAACATCTCTTTAAGAGACCCGAAGATTCCTGAAATAAGCACTGACAACCTAATTCAAAATCTCAGATTTTATTCGGTATTTGATTAATAGTCTTTATGAGAAAAATGGAGATAGCTGGATAATTTCCAAAACTAACGAAGATGATGAACAAAGCCCTCAATGCACAGTTGCCACCTTACCGTATTTCTAGGCAGCCCAGCTTCAAAGCGATGTCCTGGTCCACCCGGTCAGCTATCTCCGACATGTAGTCACTTTTCACCTGCAGTGGGAAGGGATCGGGGAAACAAGGCCGTTTTAAAGAGCACACCGCAGAGGTACTCGCTCCGTGACTGTCTTTTAGATCTTGTAGATCCGTGATCTGTCTTTTAGAGTGCCTTTCAGGTCCTTTACACCCACTGTGTCAATAATTACGGTAGAGGCTGGATATGAAAATGAGTAATGCCAAAAAGTGGTTAAAGAAATAAAACGGGCTCTTACTAAGAACCCATATACTCCACGAGCACTTCAACTTAAGAAGCAACTCACATCATCTGAACGAAAACCAGAAGGGATCTCCATTTCCCCGCAAACTTGCAGTGGATGTATTTCCTGAACTCAAACTACAGTCCCAACAGCATTCTTTGGACCCAAATGGCCAGGGCAGAAAATTCACATATTTCTTTTTTTTTTTTTTTTAA